CACACTGAGAAGGAAATAACTGCACCAGAGGCTTCCCTGCCCGGCCGCACACATTCCAGGGCCCGGCACCCCCGCGCCGGGATGCACGGCCGCCGCAGTGCTTCACCTTCACAGTGGGGCAGACCAGCTGGAAAAGGGAAACTGAGGCAGGACACTCCCACCTTGCCGGGCCTCAGGGAGGAGCAGGCATTCTAAACCAACGCACAGCTCAGCAGCACCCGAAGTGCTTCTCGAGTCTCCAAACTCCAGCTTTCCAATCACATTTGCTTTGTTTGATTTTCTTTTTTTTCAACTCATTTTCATGCTAACTCATTGGGTTGCATCAGGCTGGGGACCCCGTTGTCCAGAGGACCTCAGGAACGGGTTCTGGAGAGCCCCACGCAGATGCACTCCATGCCTGGCCTCCGGGCCGGCTCCCCACAAAATGCCTCCGAGAGGCTCCCTCTGCAAAGCAGCAGTCTCTTCTCCTCGGCACCGCTTCATCAGGCAAATTTTGGCAAGCCACAGAAATAATCGAGCCAAATCCAAGGGCTGCCTGTATCACAGTATCATTCACTTTGCTTGACACCAGGAAAAACCTACGCCTGTAGATTTTACATAGCACCAGCGAGTGTTAATTATTTATATGGATATATCTCAATATTCAGACATCGCACAGGGACTACAAGGAACAACAGAGCAACCTACAGAGCCAGCCGCTTTTTGTAGGCAGGAGGTATTACACAAAAAGCCTGGTTTTGTCACTCACAGAAGCTTACGGTATCTTCCAAACCCGCCTCACAAAAGGCTTCTCTGCAACTGCTACCTCGACGTTTCCTGACAGGAGGACAGCTCTGCGGCAGGCCAGGCTGGCACGGGGGGATCCCCATCCTCGCCTGACGCCCGCGACAGGCCGGGACACGTGGCGGCTGCGCGGGGACACAGCGTGGGGACGGGCCCGCAAAGCCTCTGCGGCGGCTCTCACCTCCCTGCCTGTCCTTGGGGATTCCTTGAGGAAGAGGAGGACAGTGAAACCCAAGTAAGGCGGTAGCTCAAACACCAGCAGGCCCTGCCTCAGGCCGGGGGTCGCAGCTCCCCGGGCAGCTCTGGTGGCACCAGGCCAGGGTGCTCAAGGTGCTCAGACCACCGAATCAGGTCAGTAACAGCCCCGTGCGCAGGCCGAACTGCGAGCTATACAGCAGAAGGAAACGAAAATGGGCAATAGAGGGGATTTTGAAACCTGGTGGCCTCAAGGGGTCCAGGAGCTCTCACTCAGCACCGGCCTCAAGCACTTTTACCTTCAGTATCCTCCGCTGACGCGGTGACTGTGACAAATTCTGATCCCCTGGCCACCTCTCTGCTTCATCAAGAGGTCCCCACCACAAAGGTGGCCCTGTTCTTCTCCCTTCCCCACACGTCTGCAGCTCAGGTTGGAGCAGTTTGAAGCAGCTCCTCCCCAGTGTATCCAACCCAACACCTGGCACCAGCACCAAAGTTTACAGCCTCCCTTCAGAGCCGACTCCCTTCACTGAGGTTTGGGAGGCAGGTTCATGCCACCCGGAAACCATCCGGAGAGCATGGAAATGCCAGACAGGGAGCAAGGACGTGTTTGTGCTAGTGCAGGGGCTGGAAAGGAGCAGCTTGATGACCAAGTGGAGCTGCCTGCATCCCTGCTCCCAACCAGGGGGACTTGTTTAGCTTTGGAGACCAACCCAGCCATTTCCCCCTTGTTCCCTCTCCTCAGCAAAGTGAGATTTAGAAAGTTTCTGTGTGAAAACTGAAGGGGAAACACAACAAGCAAGTCAGTGCCCGGGTGCTTCACTTTATAATCCAATCACTTCCAGTTTCAGAACTCCTGGTGCCAGAGCAGGGAATACACGTGCAGGCTGAGCCCTTGTCACCGCCTGTGTTTCATGGACAGGCGGGATGCCCAGCAAGAGCCTCCTCTGCAGGGGATGCTCCTGCTGCCATTTGCAGGACAGCAAAAGCACCTGAGAAGTCCTTCCCCTGCGGCCACCTTGAAGATACAAAACAATTATTTATGAAGTACCTTTTATGCTTTCCTTAGGCACATGTCATCAAAACCATCCCACTCCTACGTCTCCCATGCCCTTCACCTTGGCATGCTCCTTTTTTTCCCCTCCCTATTCTTTACCCCTATGGCCAGCACAATTCAGAACCTCCCCAGGACAAAATCTTGTCCCCTACTGGGGCACACTGAGCCCACCACGATGAAACCCTGCTTTTGGTTGGTGCTGCTCATAAAAACAAATAAATAAGGAAAAAAAAAAGGCAAAGAAAGGAAGGAAGAAAAAGCTACAATCAGGATAATTGGACACAGCCAGATATACAATAGACTAGAGAACACTGAATTTTACCATTATAAATCACCTTTCAAATTGAGGTCTTAAAGTGCTTTGCAAACATTAAGTTGTAAATCCCTCCCGAGCGAGGCGAGCATTATCCCCGTTTCACATGGGCCTGGCTCGCAGACAGGAGGATGGCCCCTTTCCTGGCACCCTGCAGCACAGGGGCCCAGGCAGACGCCGGGAGCCCCAACATGCCCCATCCTGTCCCCACTAGCCCCACGAGCTGCTGCTTTCTGCCTAAGAGCGAAGGGGACACAGGAGCTTGAAGCAGCAAAGAGCCTGCTCGAGATGCCTGAATTGGAGCTTGGCTGCATGAGGAAAGGGACAATGTGCTACAAGTCTCATGCAAGCACCTTCCCAACCCCACCAGGCTCCATCTCGCACTCATATCCATCACATCTCTAATTATTGACCTCCAGAACGGCCCGAAATTGGCTCTGACCAACTGAACCAAAACAAGGAGACTTCTGCTCCAAGGGAAATTGGATTTCCCGTTGAGCTCTTTATTGCTCGTGGCCAGCTCACGGCCAGGTTTGAAGGGAAGCTATTAGAAAAGCAGATCCTTCCCTCGCTCTTTAAACACAGCGACATTTCTCTCGTTTTCCATCCCATCGCCTGCTCTTCAGACCACTAACACTCCAGCGTAAGCACTTCTGCAGTGTGTTTAAGCACCCACCTGGAGACGAACAGCTCAGCGCCAGGCCTCTAAAAAACACAGGCAAACGTAGGAATCACAACCCATTGCTAACTAAACAAACCCCACCAGGCTCCTCGGGGATCCAGATGTGAGACAAAACGAGGAGCCACAAGGGGATCCGAAGCCATCTCGCAGCTGATGACTGCCTGGACTGACTGACGATGCCGGAGACGGGAGCTTTGTCAGGGTGAGCCCGGCACCCTCTGCCCCCCTCTTTGCAAGCTCATGGCTTCTGAGATGCTTAAATTGCAAATCTTCAAACTGAGTTCAACTCAACAGGCTGGTATCAAACTCACTTTAACCAAGAGGAGGAAGCCAAGGAAGGAAATGTGCAAGCGGACAGATGCCAGGACTGAGGAATCCCCCAGATACGGCCACCGAGTTTGGGTACCGGGTCCAGAGCAGCGGCGCAAGGAGGACGTGCCACGAGGAACCCGCGGGGAAGGCCAGGAGCGACGGGAAGCACCGAGCGGGAGCAGCGCGTCCCTGGGCATGGAGCAGACGGCCAGGGAACAACAGCGGGAAGAAATGACTTTTGTGGATCAGGGAGAAACCACCTCTCCCCCCAGCCTCAGATGAGGCACTGTGAGAGCAAAGGCGAGAGCGGCAGAAACTGTTCACTTTTAGGGGAGAATTGCACCTGAGATTTTTACTGCTGCTCATCCAATTAATCACATCTTAATTAGACTGGGACACAAGAGAAATTCAGGAATAAAAACCTACTTTCAAAGCCTCTGACCCCATACAAGTAGCCAGAGCCATGGTCAAAGGCTCCTGCCATCACCAGCTTTCAGACAGGGGATTTCTCCCCCCTTAATCTTTGCTGCCAATTAGGTTGGCTCTGGTCTCCCCAAGAACATGCAGGTCCCTTTGCAGACAGCTTAAAAACAGCTCGAAAGCACCAAATTCCCCCAAAGATTCTGCACCTGCTGCAAGATGAAGATAAATTCAAAGCCACTGGTGCGCACGTGCTGCGAACAGCCCCTCCAAACACACTGTGTCTCCTCTGAAATATCATTGCCTCGCACAGCTAATTATTTGCTGCTTTGTACGCCTCTCCCTACCCGCAAAAAGAAGCGGGGGAAGGAAAAAAAAAACAAACAAGCCCCAGCTCATTTCTTTTTGGCATTGGCGGCGTTACCTCAATTTTAAAAAAAGGTACGCTCTGAACATGTATGGATTTACAAGCAATACAAATATCTTGTGCTCTTGGTAATATGATGTTTCTAAATCAGGCTCATAAATATATGCTTGGGAGATTAGTCTATAAAAAAGACTAAACTTTAATTACCTCCTCTTTATCAGCACGCAGCCCGTAGCGTGAGCCGTATGTGGGTGTTAAACGCCAAGCGCTTTGCAATCCGCCCCCTCCCGGGATAACAGCACAACCCGCAACGTTGCAAGGCCATTTGGATATTAAAACGTATTCCCGCTGCCCAGGAAGGACGAGGATGGAGAGGGCGATGCGGAGGAACAGCTTGAACTGCTTAGCAACGCGCCGGGCGCCCGCGCCGCATCCCAACGCACCGTGCTCCGGAGCCCGGGCTCGCATCGGGAAGGGGGCCCGGGCTCGCTCCCGGGAGGGCCGTTTCTGAGCCCTCCGCTGCTTCCCGCATGTCAGAAGAGCTCTGCGCTCCCAGTGACGCTGCTTCGTAACGCGGGGCAGCGGCGCGTCTGGGACCTCCGCGGGCAGCGGCGCATCCAGGCCCCCCTGGCCCACAGAGGCTCCTCAAGGCGTTCAGCCAGCAGGAACTCGTGTCACAGTAATCAAAGGGCACCTGGGATGGCAGCAGCAGCTCAGGGCTGCTCTCAGTGCAGAGCGCTGCCCAGTCCCCACCTTCCACCCCTTCTC